AACTGCTGATATATTGATAGTCATTGCGGAAAGATTCTATCAAGCTTTAGGATAAGACTGGTGAAGTTCGGACTGTTGCTTTGGACACCTCAAAAAAAATTGACAGGGTTTGGCATACAGCTCTTCTTGATAAGTTGAACATTTTTAACGGATTTCGTCTTTCCTGTCCAATCGTGCAATGAAAGTTATCCTGAATGGCCACTCCTCTTTATCCTCTTGTACTAATGCAGATATCTCACAGGACTGTATCCTTGATCATAATTTGTTTATTTGTTGTTTTTTTTCTTTAATTTTCATTAACGACCTTCCCGATGGCATCAACTCTCGACTTGATATTTGTACTGATTACACAACTATTTACCCCTGTCTCGATAGCAAGGCTGGTCAGTTGAATTGTGTCAAATTAGCGGCTGATGTTAAAAAGCGATCATCAGTCTGTTGTTAACCGGGGCAAATAATGGCTTGTTGCATTTTAACGCCTAAAAAACGACACTGCTTTCTATTAACCGAGAGACCTCTTTCTGCCTTCGATCAGCATAGCTGAGATTAACCTAAAGGAGAGTGACTCGTTGCACCTTCTGGGGCTAACAATCTCAGCTGACTTGAAGTGAAAAGACTATATTGAATTCATTGCTAGGTCAGATGCTATGAAAGTTAGCTCATTGTGTTGTGTTAGATTCTGGAGACAATATTTGTCTATGTTATATATTTATATGTCTACAATTCGCTCATACTTAGAATATGGCAGTCACATATGGTCCAGTGCTCCTGATATATATCTAGAAATTCTTGATAAAATCCAAACAGGATTCAGCAATATTATTCCACCTGACCTGGCTTCAGTCGCTTTCCTATTGCCATAAAAAAAACTTCCATGTGCCTTTTCTATGAATGGTAATCTTTCGGATGAGCTCTTCTCTAAGGTCCCAAGACTTTATGAATCTAAGCGCAGTACTAGACTGGCAACAAGGTCTCCTCAGTTTCCATTTGAAATGGCTAGATTAAACCGTAGGCTCTATGATAAAAGTTCTTTTTTCTCACACTTCTCGCTGGTGGAACTCTCTTCCGGCTCCATGATTTCCAGTCAACTTTCATCTTCAAAAATTTAAATGTAATGTCAATCGTTATCTACTGTCTTTTTGATTACTCTTATATTGTTCCCTCCACTTAATAATGTTTCGCTTTTCTAAATCTTCCACACCCAGTAAATCTTTGTGTTGTACTGGCTTTACTGCCTTTCTTGTTGGTGAATTCGATTAAAATAGATAGATAGATAGATAGATAGATAGATAGATAGATAGATAGATAGATAGATAGATATGACCAGACTACCATCGATAGATAGGATCAGACTGCCATAGATAGATTGATATGATCAGACTGACATAGATAGATAGATAGATAGATAGATAGATATGACCAGACTGCTACCGGTAGAACAGACTGTCATAGAGAGATAGATATGAAGATAATGTCATACAGAGATATGAAGAGATTGTCATATATATATATATATAAATATATGTTTTTAATATATAAACTTAAAAACTAGCAACAAAAAATTAACAAACATTTCTTCCTTCTGACTTTTTTTTTGAATAAGCCAACTTACCTGAGCGCTATGGACTCCCCCTATGTGTATCCTGCTAGTCTCGAGTACAAGTCGGCTGAGACAATTATAAAATCAGTGTCGCATAGCGTGGTACAGAAGGAGGGTGCGTCGGAGCCTGATCAGCTCTGACGGGGTCGACGCAGCGAGGATGGTATGATGTTGCAAGGCCCGAAACTACCCAATGACCTGAGTAATTACATCACTGACGACACCCTCCTGCGCAATAAAAGTGCGTATTTCAGAAATATATATATATATATATATATATATATATATATATATATATATATATATATATATATATATATATATATATATATATATATATATATATATATATATATATATATATATATATATATATATTTGGAGAACTTCCACAGAGTGAGAGAGATTCATCATTAGGTTCTTCATTTTTTTCTCCCTAATCTTGCTGTATTTCTCATTTCTATGCATCTCTCTTTTCTTCCATCTTTCTTTTCTCTCTCCTCGTCTTTTTTCTCTTTTTCTCCTGTCTCTCTTTTCTCTTTCCCCCTGTCTCTCTTTCTTCTGTTTCCTGTCTCTCTTTTCTCTTTCCCCCTGTCTCTCTTTCTTCTGTTTCCTGTCTCTCTTTTCTCTTTCCCCCTGTCTCTCTTTCTTCTGTTTCCTGTCTCTTTTTCTCTTTTGTCATCTCTTTTCTTCTTCTGTTTCCTGTCTCTCTTTTCTCTTTCCCCCTGTCTCTCTTTCTTCTGTTTCCTGTCTCTCTTTTCTTTTTCCCCCTGTCTCTCTTTCTTCTGTTTCCTGTCTCTCTTTTCTCTTTCCCCCTGTCTCTCTTTCTTCTGTTTCCCGTCACTCTTTTCTCTTTCCCTAGCCTCCCTTTTCTCTGTCTTCCGTCTCCTTTTTTTTTCTTTTTTTCCGTCTCTCTTTTCTCTTTGTCGGTTATCTTCTTGTCTTCACTCGCTATTCTTTATACTAAAATCTCTGTTTTACTCATTTTCTGCGTTGTTTTCCCCACTTGATATTCTTTCGTTTTCTCGGCATTATTTTCTTCTTTCTTTATTTTAATTCATTTACTTTCTTCTTCTTTCCTTCCACCCCCATCCCCCTTTGCACTATCAAACATTCTTTCTTTCCTTTCTTTCTGCTGTCTTTCTCTTATTGTTTACCCTCTAGGAAACTTCGGTAGACGGAAAGAAAATCCAAGAATCGGCATTAAAAACAGAAAGAATGCAGCCAACAGTGAAAGAATAAATCAACCGCTCTTTTCCCAAGTTATACACATAAATGAATAGATAAAAAGAAAAAAAATAATGAGACAACTCACACTGCAGAAACTGTGGTTGACGTACGAGGTAAGTATTAACGATAGACTTGGAGTAAGTTATATATTCTACATCCTAAAAACAATTTACTTTAGAAAAGAACCAAATACACAAAACGATTTTGTGGATTTCGGAATGAAACATGCCACACAGCAATTTCATTCCTAAATATCGTTAGAGCATCGTTCCAAAACTGGAAAACTATTTTAGAATCCAAATAAGTCAATAACCATTGCCGAAATAAAGAATTTTGATCGAATTTAGCTAAAATGTCCCGAGAATTTTTTTTTTCTCTCTCTCTTTAGTTTCGTATTTTTCTTCGTCTTAAGAATGCTTCCTTCCTTTCATATCTGTTAGCTTTGTTTTTGGGTTACCTGATTCCTTGAAATTTGTGCCGACAACAAGAATTAAATAAATTCCCTTTTTAAAGACTTTTGGCTATTGAAGGTTAGAAGAGGCGATGTCATTGTTACAAAATTCATCTAATTATAGCATTAGTGGCGTATTCTCATATCGCTCAGCAGTATCGACACGAGTTTTCTCATCGTAAATAGACAGTAACTAAATAGAGAGTGGAAATGAAATAACAAAAATATAGGACATATTATTAGATTGAAATCATTACCGTTGCCTGATAAAACATTGATAACAAGAAGGAAGTAAAAAAAAAAGAAAGAAGTAAGCTGATATTTACAGCAATCCAACTGAAATAGATGTAAAATGAACGAAATGACAGAAGAAAGTTAAGCTATTCATGCCTTGTCAGAAATCGACGTTGGTTCTTCATAAATATACTTACAGCTCAATTTCGTTCTGTTACACTATAATGAATCTCTCTTAGGCAAGGCTTTCTGCGATTTCAAGTGATATTTGCAGTAATCCAAATAAAATAGAATGAAACTTCTAGTGCCTTATCACAAAAGAAGGGATTAATTTGTTGATTTGTAAATACACGTTTTTTGTTTTCATCTTTTGTTTGTTACTACTACACTGTTATGCAGCTTTTGCGCTAGGCTCTCCACGCTTTCAAATGATATTCTTAGTAATCCAAATGAAATCGAATCAAAGTACGAGTGTCTTATCAAAAAAAAAAGAGGGATTCCTTTCTTAGTTTGTAAATATACTTACAGCTCTTTTTAGAGCTATTATACGATCCTGAATTTTTCCATCTCTGGAAAGTTTTTTGTCCGATTTCATATAGAAAACTTAAAATAAATTCAATGAATAAAACTATTAAACCGAAATCATCAAAGAGTATTTTCCTGTGTTCGTACAGATCTTTCGTTGTTTACTGTTTACGCAGGAAAATCAAAATGTCGGAAGGTTTTGTTTTCGACTTTAAAGATATGTCTTCACATCCATTTTAAAGCGAATCCCTTAACTGAATTGCGGTCAACTCAGAATCAAAAATATTGTCACTGCTCCGGCTTTCGGGGCATACACCTGTCAGTCAGTTATGTGCCATGCGTGATACACGCTTAGGCGATCATGTATATTTCGATACATGACTGACGAGGCAGATTTTTTTTTCCCGCGGTAGCTTGCCAATTCTTTCTGCGTTAGTCCAATGGCCATCCAAGGCTATAGAACCCGGTCTGTCCCGCTATTTAACCATAGATGGGGGGAGAAGAAGAGGATTCATACTTTTCGCAAGGGTATTAGCACGTAAGTGAATGTAATAGATTCAACTGGAATTCGAACTCGGCAATCCCAATCTCTATCCATTACTCCACCGTACCTCATCCATACGCCTCTATCACGTTGAAACACTGGTTCTCGTACGATCACCGAGGTTAAGCAACGGGGATCCTTGTCAGTACTTAGATGGGTAACCGCTTGGTTTGTCGGTGGTTTAGTCACTTATCAGCCTCTATGGGTTATTTAATGCCTAAATCTAAATATTTTGATTACAATTTAATTTTTTTTAAAATAATGATTTAGTGAAAAAAGTCTTGCTAATAATCCCATAGAGAAGCGGTGGATTCATGCCTTTCTCGAGGGCATTTGTGCGTAAGTGAATATAACGAACCTAACTGTAATTAATCTTCAGTTAACAATTTCGTAATTAAGCCACCCGTACGTCCAAGCTTACAGAACCTGGTATTCCCAAGCGGTCACCCATCTAGGTACTAACCAGGTTCGATGTTGCTTAACTTTGTTGATTGTACGGGAACCATTGTCGCAACGCGATGTGGCCTTCAGGAATATGACCTCTTGAGAATACCACTATACAAATATAAAAACAAATGTGAAGGACGATAAAAGAAAGAATTTTGAAAAATGATGGTTACTGTTAAAATAATATATTAATATTAAATAGAATCGTATCGTAAATGTAATCCTTAATGAGAAACTCAAGACTGAAATTTGTGAAAATATAAGTAAAGTTTAATAATATTAAATAAAAGCATTGCTAATATTTAACTATTTCACTGTGTAATTAATCCACTAAAAGAAATATCTACTTTTCAAAGCCACTGGGTAAATCTGCTTTCCGCTGCCAAAGGATTGATTAGTGTTTAATCGATTATTGTATAAAGTATGTTTGTGTTATTGCTATTTGATTTCGTTTTTATTTACTACTAATGTCGTGTTCTGCGTTCAATCCGTGATTAAAACTGTGTATTTTGAATGCTGATTTCCAAGCTATGCAGTTGATGTCTACTCGCAGGTTTGCTGCAAGTGTTCTTTCATTTTTACGGATTTCACCATGAACCATCCCAAGCTAAAAAGTTCCTAAACATCAAAATATCATCCTATATTATAACTTTTAAAATAAATGTTTCTATGAATAATAAGTATTACTATAAACACGCAGTAAGAAAGATTGTCAGCATTTATTTATATATTTGTTTCAGATTCGTTATATTGCAAGCTTTTTTATATTTTTAGTAAACTCGATCCACCCATTATTCTATCATTAATATTAGATAAAATTCTACTGAGTCTGAGATGAGGTATTATGTACATTATTAGGACTATTGTCCTCATCTTTGTCGCCATATTTATCACAACGTTTCGGCTGTTGTACGCTCGGGCCTTCTTCAGGTGTTTGGAATTTCAAACTGAACCCTTTATTATGCTCACTGGGGTATACTGTTCTAGTTTCACGTGCTATGTATGTTGGATGTCAGTTATCTTTCAATTATCTTTCAGAGGGAAATTATGCTAATTTCCCTCTGAAAGTTCTCTACTGCCTTAACCGGGTATTGAAATCACACTCTTTGGGATCATGTCACTGGATCTAACCAACGCCTTTATCCACTGTGCCATGTGTCCTTGAGGTATGAATTTCTGGGTATTATAAGCCTAATGTTTTCAGCAACCATTTTTTACCAGTGCTCATATTGCAATTTTACTGCTATCATTTCATGTTTTTACCAGAGCTCATATTGCAACTTTGTTGTTATCATTGCTTTTCTCTGGCACTCCTTATTACTGGTTCCCATATGTATTTATTTCTATGCTTGGTTGGCTCAGGAGATTTTTGTGGCCTAGCATATGTGCTGATTCCTTAAGTTTACGAATTTTTCAATGGTGTTCCTTGTCTATGATCTCAACCTGATCCCACAGAGGGCGGTGATCTCCCTTCTCTCTCCATATGTGGTCAGCCACGCCTGATTTTTCTACTTCTCCTCGTGTTACAGCTTTCTGATGTTCTTGAAGCCTTACCTTGAGGGGGCAGCCTGTCTCTCCTTTATATTCCTTTCCGAAGCTGCACGGGATAGCGTATACACAGTCTTTAGTCGGGTTCTCCTCTAGGGGGGGGTCTTACTCGGGAGAGATATCTGCGAAGTGTCGTCACGCTTTTGAAGTTTGACCTGGTGTTATATGGACCGCAGATTCTTTGTATTTTCTCTGATAACCCCTTCACATAAGGCATGCAGACTGTTTTCCGAGTGTTGTTTGTCCTCCTCCTCGTGTACCCGCCTATTCCAGTTTTGGGGGGCTGCTGCCATTTACCCAGGGTAGTTGTTACGTTGTAGGGTACTACTTATACTGACCAATTCACATCTAATATCTCAAACAGAGCATGGGTTTAAGACATCCGTATACCGTAAACCAACATTTACCGGACAGTACCTCAATTTCAACTCCCACCATCCATACGGCGTAAAGAAAAGGATCGTCCGTTGCTTACAACACCAAGAAAAAGTCATAAATGGCGACCCAGAGACTAATAATGTAAATAATAAAATTCTACTGTTATAAAAGGAAACATATTAAGAAACTATGAGGCACTTTGGCGTGGTAGAATGGTTGTTATAATGACAAAAGTACGCAAGTCTTTAAGAAAGCTTTATTCCACTGAGAATACAAGGTTCGTGTATAGTGTCCTTTTATAGTCCCAGTAAACATAAACAGATCTCTCTCAAAGAGGAGAATAAGAAAACAAGGGGAGACCACTCCTGATTATCCATAACAGTTGCTTCACACTTACGGCATTTTTCCATATTTAAGCTACGCTTAGAAAATCTTTTGGGCCCCTCGACCTGGGGTAAAAGTTAGCAAGCTTGTCTCGCTATATCAAGTCCGACTTAAGTAGTGAGTTCGATCCTCACCAGGTGCTCCACACAGGTGCTTTGTTCTATATCTAAGCTACGCTTAGAAAAACTTTTAGGTACTTCGATCTGGTGTAAAGGTTAGCAAGCTTGTCTCGCTAGATAAAGATCGACTGATCCTCGGTCTGAGTTTGATCCTCAGTCTGAGTTTGATCCTCACTGGGTACTCAACACTTTCGGTCTTGTTCCATATTTAAGCTACTCTTACAAAATCTTTTGGGCACTTCGGCCTGGTACAAAGGTTAGCGAGCTTTATCGATCCTCACTGGGTGCCCATACATTAGGCCTTATGCTGCTCAGTAAATCATTATAAAGAAACTATAGAGCACTTCGGCATGGTTTAATGGTTAGCAAGCTTTTCTCACTAGATCAGTTGCAACTGAGTAGTGATTTCGATTCTCACTGGATACTCCCCGCTTCCATCTTTGTGGCACAAGTAAGTTGCACATTATTTACATTATTCGGACTATTGTCCTCATCTTTGTCGCCATATTTATTACCACGTTCCGGCCGTTCTACGCTCCGGCCTTCTTCAGTTGGTTGGAATGTCGAACTGAACCTTTTATTTCGCTCACTGAGGTAGACAGTTCTAGTTATACGTGGCATATTTTTAATGGATGTCAGTTATCAGTTATCTCCTGTTAATTTCCCTCTGAAAGTTCTCCACTGCCTTAACCGGGTATTGAACTCAACATTCTTTGGATCCTGTCACTGGATCTAACCAACGCCTTTATCCACTGTGCCATGTGTCCAACGCCTTTATCCACTGTGCCATGTGTCCAACGCCTTTATCCACTGTGCCAATGTGTTTAGGCATGGAACGTGGAACTAGAACAGTCTACCCCAGTAAGCGAAATAAAGGGTTCAGTTCGACATTCCAACCACCTGAAGAAGGCCGGAGCGTACAACGGCCGAAACGTTGTAATAAATATGGCGACAAAGATAAGGAAAATAGTCCGAATAATGTAAATAATGAACATAATACCTCATCTCAGAAATATAGACAGGTAATGAAGTAAGCTACACTTGATAAAATCGGGGTAATTCATGTCTCTCATTATCAATTACGATTGAGTAGTAGTTTGACCCTCATTAAGTGTGCCATGTTTCTAGCCTTTTGCTACTTTTAGGAAATCACTATAAAAGAACTCCTCAATTTCAAAAGACGAATGTCTGTTCTATGGAATTATCGAATATCAGTTTTATAAAATTATGGAATGTCTGTTCTATAGAATTATGGAATCTCTTTTGTATTGAATTATGGAATGTCAGTTCTATAGAATTATGGAATGTATGTCCTTTGAAATTGTGGAATGTCTATTCTATGGAATTCTGGATTGTCTGTTCTACGGAACTATGAAATCTCTGTTCTATGGAATTATGGAATGTCAGTTCTAATGACTTATGGAATGTGTTTTATGGAATTGTGAAATGTCTGTTCTATAGCGTTACTGATTGTCTGTTTTATGAAATTATGGAATGTCTGTTCTATGCAATTAGAAAACTGGCAAAAATATATTTAAAAAATATAGCAAAAAATATGCTCAACTTTATTATTGAGGTATGTGCGCCACTTCGGAAGAGAAATAAATATGGTATTTTTTAAATATGGCACAAGGCCGAAAGTATAAGATATTCAGTGAGAATCGAACTGGCTATTCAGTTGTAATTGATCTCGCGAGCATGCTTGCTATTTTACATTCAAAGAGAAATGGATATGAATGGAAAGGCCAAATAATATTAGAGGAATAATGTAATTTGTTTTAGTATCGCAAAGCAGTTTCATACGAAACACTTTCTTTTTTAAATAAGTAATTTGTAAGCATGATAGAATAGAGAATGAAAAAGTGTTCTGTTCTGTACTTTGTTGTGAAGAGACAGGGGGGTGATAGAAAAACGCTTATACTCTAAGATGAATAAAATACTGCGAATGTAGAAACAATTTTATAAAGTATTTTGTCTGTTTTGTAAAACCATTCTTACTAGAAATATAGAAGAGGACAAACAATTTCATATGAAGAAAATAAGCATTTGAGAATCGAAAACTTATTTAATAAGAATTATATCCATTATAAAGAATGTAAGAAATTAGTTTGGTAGAATAAAACATTATAAGCAATTAGTAAGCTAGGTAGAAATATAGTAAGCTAGGTAGAATATAAGCAATTAGTAAGCTAGGTAGAATATAGGATAGAAAATATGTTTGTAGCCGATATCGTTACAACAATATACTAGATTTTGAAGAAAAATAAATTTGTATGATTCGACAAAACAATAAAAGGTCGAACATATTCATCTGAAATTCTCTAAACAATTTCATAAGAAAGTATGTCTTTTATAAAGAATTAGTAAGTTGGACAGAATATAGAATAGGAAATATGTTTTGCATTGTAGATGAGATAGTTCTACCATGAGTCGCTATGTGAACAGGGAAAAAAAATAGGAAAGAAAAGACCCAGTAATTCAAGAAGAACAAGAAGGGTGAAGTATAGCCTATGACAAAAGAAGAAAAGTAAAGGAAAAGATATGTAACAGAAGGAGAGAAGATATCATGAACAAGGAAGATAAAATAGAAAATTAAACAAGAAAAACCAAAACGAAAAAGCTCAGGCCGAATATGATGCCAAATA